ATTTATTATGCATACTGCTCTTTATTTAAAAATATGATATAACAGTACCCGGCTTTAATTTGTAACTAATCACTCTAGCACAAAACGCTATCTTAAAGAGTTAATCGTAAAATAATCACGAATAGGTGTAAAACGGGTGAAACTTAGAGGCCGACAGCTCTGCGATGAAAGATACGAGGATAGGCCGTGTTAAAAAGAGCCAGAATGCTGCCTGGCGCACGGCTATTGATCAGATTCCAGCCCTGTGCAGGTATTAGTCGGCCTGATGATCAACGGCCGACTTTATACGGGTCCATTATATCACCGGTCCCAGAGTTAGTCAGTAAATACGATTATTACTAATCCCTTGGTTGCCTCGTAAACAGATCTTAAAGGTCGGAATTATGGAGGCTCAGCAACGTTCCACATCCCCATTCGCATGCTAGTCGTCTTGTTAATTTCCATCGTAGTGTCGAGTTTTATTGGTCGGACCAGTTTACACAGGTGGAATTACGAGATGCTTGTCTAAAAAATTAAACCATGGATATAGCGTTAAAATAAACAAAACCTAACTTTACTTCATAGAATTAAATTAAAACACATAGACGCTTCCAGAAATCCAATGTTGTTCAACTGCCAATTTGTAATCGCACATCTCTATCATTTTATGGCTTCAGAATGTGTATTTAAGAAATAGAACTACAATTTTTGCACGTTAGTGATAGCGCATTCCCACGGTCGTGGCAGCATGTATGTAAAATTCCATAAAGTTGTATAATTATCCATAAAAAATCATTTATAACGTATTAGAATGGTGTATAAAAATGATCTTTTTAAACAAAAATTAATATTTTTGTTTCTTGAATGTAGTATGAGATTGAAATACAAAATCTAGAACCATAGTAATTAGCCCATCAACAGCCAGTAGCTCGATCCCAGGTATGTTAAACACCAAAACTTTTGCACAGCCATTTTGACTACTGGAAAATAGTAATTTTTGTGTTTTGAATAAAGTAGGCAATGGATCGAAACACATAATGATCAATCGGAGGAAGGTCCGAGCTGTGATGTAATTGTGGTAGCAGTTTGATCTCACCAAGATCAAAATTCACTGTTCGTTACTTTATAAAAATTATTTTACACCATCTATGGTAGGAAAAAATGTTTTTTAAATCTAAAAGTGTTTCATGTATAAGACCTGCGCTGAACGTTGCCATAGTAGGAGGAGTCTGTATGAGAATGAATCCAGATATAGAAAAACGTAAAGTGGACGTGGGTCGAGACAAGTAATAATGTGAGTGGCGAAGGTCTGGATAGGAGTTCTATCCCATGAAATTCGATAAGGAATAGTGTGGCCCATTTAAGACTTTCGTTATACAGTTGGGTTACGCTGTTATAGTTTACATGATACCTGGGTTTATGAGAGTTAAGAATTTCAAAACATCCATCAAAAACAAACTTTTGATAAGGCTCGAAAAAACATGCAGCATGGATTTTTGTCGCCCTTTCCCTTTGCACCAACTAGATAATAAGCTGTTTGACCAGGAATCATTGCCCACAGGTAAATTCAGCAGAAAACTCTATTTTCACCACATACTTTGGGAAAATCTGACAGCTGAAGTGTTTAATAAAAGTTCGTAATTTTCTGCCTTTTAGGAGATGGTGTACCATTCAACAGCTATTTTACATTTTCCCCATATTTGTTGATTTGATGAATTTCGATATTTCACACTACTTGGAAAGGTACGCGAGTATTTGTGGCTAGATTTGTTAATACTTCTCAATGTAGAATCTATTCAATGATTGCTTTTAGACTTTCTTCATTGTCAAGGACAAATCTCTTATCAATCGTCCCTTCAGTTTTAATAACTTCACAAGCTCCTTCAGCGGCAGTAAATGTTTTGTTTTTGTTAAACAATGTCCTTGTGTGTCATGCATTAATAGTTATTTCCCCAGATGGACAGAGGGGTAAAGAACTTGTAATTTGGTAGTAATCTAACATTTTTGCTAACTTCGCTGGGCCGGTCTGTCTGCCGCGTTACGTCATTGGACCATCTATCAACAATGACAAAAACAAATTCAAAAACTACATCTTAATCAAACATAGGCATTGACCAACAAACATAACTCAGCGAGGATAGGCAGACTAAAAAAGACACCAATAATAACCCTTTATGGACCTTTATAGATTATTATAATCCTTTAAATTAAAAATTTAAAAAATCAGTTTAATTTCAACCTTTCCGGAGCCAACAACTGTCGAGTACCAAACTGGTTTTTAAATTGTTTCCTTTGATTAAACAATGCATGTGAGTAAAAAATTATTTTTCTCTTAAAAGTATAGATTTAAGTCGAGAATACCTCGCCTGGGCCGTGCCGTTACATAGCTTAAATCCAGGGTCCCCATCCAGCTACCCTATTTAGCTTCTTTGATGAATTCTTTAGTCAATCCCAAACGGTCCAAATATAAGAGTGAGTTCAACAGAGGCTTCGTGAGAATAGCTTAGTCTCTAGACGTCTCCTATCATGTTTTTCCTGGAGAGACTCGAGTAAAAAGGCATCCGCAAATCAATATCTCCCTTGGACACATGCACAATGAGGGGGGTTCTTTTCAGAGATGAGTGCCGGTTTGGTTTATGGCAATCAGCTGACGGGGATGTTGTGTGGAGAAAACTTGGACGCTTTGCTTCATGTGCCATGCGTGAGTGAACATTTACACACATAGCTGAATCAACGTCCATGCCCGTACCGAACTGATTAACAAAATGGAACTGCAGTAAAGTGCGTTTAGGAAGTTCTTCTGGAAGCTTCATTTATTGGGGATAATTTCGTGTTAATGCATGATAATGCCAGACCGCATATTGTCACTTCAAGGTTGAAGGTATTACCACAATGAATCGGCCAGCACGTCCTCCTGATATGAATCTTATAGACTCTTATGGGACATGATAAATAGACTGTTTAGACATCTTTCGTCGCCTTCAACAAGCGTTGGACAGATTAAAATCATTTTTGTTGAAAAATATGATTCTGTTTCACGAGGTGAAATCCGATCGCTTATTTACTCGATGGCTAGGGCTAGGGGTTTTTAAGAGCAAAATTTATTATTTATTTCGTGTGGTGATTAGTGACCGTTAGTCGATGATTTTCAGAGATCGTGAGATGCGGTCTAGTGTGACGTTGGTTTTAGAAAAACATTTTCTTTATCGTGCTAACGTTTCGATCTTTATTGAAATCATCTTCAGGGCTCAAAGTGTTTGTTTTCTGCGTAATTGTGCCATTCCTGTGTGTCGTGTTGAGAGTGCCAGACCTTCCCATAATTATCCCCGTCTATATAATCCTGAAAGGATAATCTGGCCGAACTATTACCAACGTTTTTCCCATCGTTGGTTCCTTTAATCTCAATGAAGCCGACTCCTTATAATCCATCCCTAACCAACTCCTTATAAGAAAATGTCTATCTATCCCTACTTCCTTCCCCACTCCTTCAAAATCCAATATAAACATAAAACAGCAATATCACACTGGCACTCTCAACACGACACCCAAGAAGGGCCCAATTACGCAGAAAACAAACACTTTGAGGGAGTAGAAATACTTGATCGAATATAAAAAATACTTTCTTGCATTGTATAAATTCACTTTTTTCCACATCCAACATGTATTTGTTAAATTTAAACAATGTTAGTAAATCCTGTAAATGTAAATCAATAAAGATCGAAACATTAGCACGATAAAGAAAATGTTTTCTAAAACATACGTCACACCAGACCGCATCTCACGATCTCCGAATAATTATTATTTATTATGCAAATTATTAGTTAAGTTTTAATCTATCTCTAAATTGTTTTCCGGTGTTTTGGTAAGTTTATTTTCACAATTACCATAATTAAATTTTTTTAATCAAAACTCATGAATTTCTGATCTCGTTTAATTTGATTTATTGGGTTGTCCGGAAAATAATGCAGGATTTTGGTATTAAACAAAAAAAAAGAAACTAGTTACTTTAAAGCAATGTTCTTTAATCAAAATAATNATACAAATGAGTAATCCTGTAAACGTAAACAGAATATTTTATATAGATTTTTTTTAATGAAAACTTAAAATCCTGCATTATTTTCCGGACAACCCAATACATTAAAACAAGTATGTTGTGATTAATATAACGATAAAAATATATATAGTTTGAAATTAACAATAAAATAGGAGTGTCCGGTTTTTTGCCTTTGGGTTTATTTAATGATTTAATATGTGAAACTATTACATATAATCCGATATCAAAATCTTGCTTTGTTCATTAGAATTTCTTCTCCATTTGGGCTTTAAAAATATTTATTAGATATATATTGATATTTAAATAATTTTTTTACATCATATCAGGCAGTTTGGCTATTTTTTTTAAACCGAAAAGTGTATTACATAGCACATATAAGAACTGCGATGAAAGTCGCCATGGTGGGAGGAGTCTGTGTGACAATGAAATGTCCAAATATAGAGAAATGGGGTCATTCATCTATACAGCAATATTTGGCAGAATGTACGGCTTGATTTTGTACCATAATTAACTCAAATATTTATAAATATTTGGCGATTTTTCGAGATTTTTTACCAGAAAAATATCCCCTTCCATGTCGAAATTGCTGCTAAGTCACTCCCAGTGCTCCCCTCCACAGTAACGCAGGACATTACGAATCCCTTCCCTTAAGATGCCTCTCCCCACTATATGATCTCGAAACAGACCAATGGGTGATCTTAAAGTAGAAATTATTTAAGTAAGAATTATTGGTGAGTTAAAGCTATTTAAGTTACTGGACAATGGACAAACCCTTTTGGGTTTTTTCAGTTTTTCTTGCTGCACATCCAGGCTAAAAAAAGATAAGAAGCTTTGATACGGTCTATGAAGAACCTATTGGTTAGATCTTATTGGTCAATTTGTTAGAAAAGCTACTTTCTACCTGATTGATAACTAAAAAACCATTTTTATTGGACAAAAATATATTTGGAACAAATGGTGTTTACATTGGCTTCTTTGGCCAACAAGACATCAACATCTGATTTCTATGAAATAAACAGTACACTGTACATGAATTTTTTGGTATCACCTCTACTTCCATCCAAATTTTTGTTTTCTGTTTTGCACCAAATATTTACACAACGGACAATAGATATATTCACCTGTACAAAAAAATGTTGAATGAGTTGGCATGAAACAACAGACCAAATGCCGCGAGATCGTAAATACGCAGATTTGACTGTAAGCAATTCTGATTCGATGAAAATCAACAAATCGATAGGTCTTGTGATCCGAGTAATGATAAAATTCCTTCAATACGTTGTTAATTTCAGAATTTCACTCTTAGAAGGAAGGGCGTTCCTAGAAGTTTAAGACATCAAGCTTTTATAAACGTAAATTCCCGTATATTTTACATATTGATGATTCTTTCTTCAAATGTTGAGTAAAATTGTATTTGTTTCATCAAGAATGAAGAACTGGATCTGGCGCAGCCAAGATGGGAGGCGATATTCCGCGAAGCCATGCCAAAAACCGAGACAAACCTTCTTGCATCTTTTATCGACAAACACAAAACGCCCGAACCAAGCAGCGATTCGGAAAATAACTATTTAATTGACGTGAGATATTTCTTGCATACTTTCTTCCTCTTGGAAACAGTTGACTTGTCAATATGTGCGAACCATGTGTTAAAAAAAATTACAACATTTTTTTTGCTTTCGTATTTTTGTTTGAAATTCTCTTAGAGATCTTTCAAAATTATAAATCCGAGGCTAAAAGTGTCTCTGGTTGATTTGAACCTTCAGAGGGGTTATGGAAAGGCGTTTTTCGGCATTATGTTATAGTTTCTTGTTTTAAAATAGTTTCCTATGGGCCAAATTCAAACATTGACGGAAGAAACAGAAGTGAGTACTAATCAAACCGAATAATGTTATTAATGTATTACATGTACAGCACACTGCATGTATATGTTAAAATTTTGAGGTTTTATTGTACGGTCACTTAGTACAATGGTGAAATAGACAATTTTATTAAATCCATTGAAATTGTCATTGCAGGATGAACCGTTCGATCTCGGCGCAACAAGTTCCACCGGGGCCACAGTAATTTTTCAAAACGAGTCCTACCGATCCAGTTCGGAGGAGAGATCAGTTGGTCTGGGATTGGCAGACCCAGAAAAACGGACGTACACAGACATTGATGGGAAGGGTAAACACTCACCCCACAAAAAGTTGAAGGTACCTAATAAAACAAACTAGCATAAAAATTGTAAACCTATTTACTATCGTGGACCCGTTTTCTATCAATTATCTAGAGGTCGAACAAATTCGAGAGTAACGACTGCCGTGAGGGCAATTCTGAGTCTTTGTTCCGCGACTTAGCAGTTTTCAGAAGAAAGCCCGACCACAACGACTGGAAGGTATGTGCATAAATGAGGAGGGTGGTACTGATAAAAAGGTAAAAATTGAGAGAGAGAGAGAGAGAGAGAGAGAGAGAGAGAGAAAGAGGGAGAGAGAATGGAAATACGTACTAGCATACAATGGTTTACTGTTTATTATATAAAAATATTATATCTTATTTAACTTTTATATCTATTCAAACATATTGGTCAAACTTAATAGTTCAATTAATTATTCATTTTATCTAAGATTTCTAGTTGTGATAAAAAGAATAATTAATTGGAATAATTGATATGGTCAATTATGACCACTAAGCAAATATGGATTAACTTAATAGTTCATTTCTTCGAAAACCATGAAAATCAGTTATTACAGCGTTACATACAGTATATTTAACAACATTATATTTTTAAAAAACCTTTTGTACAATACAAAAATTTACCATGTTTTTTATTACATTTGTTTTCTCGAAATAATGTGTAATGTATTTTCATAAAAAATATAGTAAGTTCTATTTTCTAATTGATATTTAATTAAAATTGTTTATCTTTGGACTATTTTTATAGCATGCCACCAATTCTGCGCGGAAATTCCCGCTGAAAAGGGACCGAGTGACAAAAGGCGATGATGGGGATATCAAATTTAAGGGAAGCCTGAGTAAATTCGACGTTGCTGAGGATGAATCCGAGCTAAAAATTCACCAAACGAAAACAAGCATCAAGCAAGACAAAGGATCTGCGCACAGTCTAAACGAAATTATAAAACAGCGTAAACCGCATTTCCCAAAAAAGCCAACGTGTCACAAGGACTATTTGGACGACCGAGAAGATAATTTTAAAGAAATTGACGTCACGAACGTAAAGAGTGATAAGTCCCTTGATAAAATAAGTAGAACAAGCTTTGTTCTTAACGTCAAGGACCAGTCGAGAAGACCAAATATCGTAGGGGCAAAGACTTCGCATGATAAATTAAGAAAATTCAAACTTAAAAATAACGACAGTTCTACGATACTCGGTCACGACGTGGTGAGGAAGAACTCATCAAAATCTTCGGTGTTTCAAATCTTCAAAAATGCCAGAACACAGTATTTGGTGCCTAACCAAGTGATACAGATATCGTCCGAGCACCTGATTGCTAAGAGATGTGCAACTCGTGATGGTACGCTTCCAAAAAAGCGCAGTGAATTCAGAACAGGCTTAAACACTTGGGATGATAGGATTTACAGTTCGTCGGAGTCTAACACGAGCATCGTAGAGATGCCAAAAACGGCACCGAGCAACTTGGGTTCACCTACAGTAGGTCAAACCGAAGATTCAGAGTCGGATGCATTCGGTAGCAAGTCAGAGACGGTTGGACAAACGGAGAAAAAAAGTTACAAGACTTTTCCCAATTCTTGTTTGAAGAGTACCTCAAGCCATTCTGGAAACTCTAGGACCAAATCGTCCGTGCGTTTCAAACTCGACGAACCCTATCAGAACAAAGCTCAAGATATGGCTCGTAAATCAGCGCGAATGGAACCGTTTCCTCACACGTCTGAAAGCTTCAAAGCAAAAGGAGATTCTAACGAAGGGTCACTCGAAGAAGTTCGCGACCAAATTGAAAACGACGACGAAATCAACGTTGAGAACGTTTTAGAAATCACCGATCTAACTATAAGTTTGGCACAGGAAGAACAAGAAGTCGATAATGAAGAATATCTCGATTCCATTGACTGCAACGAACAAAGTGAACAGTTGGATTCATCAGTCATTGTTTTATATTGTAACGATGTATCCAAAGATGATTCTATTTCGAAATCTGAAGGAATTAATACTGGCAATTCTTCCTCTGATTCTCCATTTTCTTCTGGTGTGGAAGAACAGGAGAAAAATAAAGTCAAACAACCAGACAAACCCGTTGCCAAAAGCAAGGTACAGTGCAAATCCAGACTGCCACAACAACAAAATCCAGTGAAACCGTCATCGTATAAAACTGGTAACAAGAAAGCGAAAGAGAGACCAAACGCCCACGCTAATACTGTTTCCAACCTGAAAACAGTAGAGAAACCAGCGTCAAGATCGCGTTCTTTAGAAGCAAAAAAGAAAGAAATAAGGGACAAATTACTGCAGTTGGATGCAAATCTAGAAAGAAAACGCTGCGGCAAAAATAAACAGACAGCCAGTCAATCCAAGCCGAACAGCCCCAGGAACAAACCTATTTGGAAACCTATCAGTCCATGCGGAAGCAGTAGCAGCGGCAATAGACCTCAATCTCCTACTAGCCCCAGAAGATTTTCCTCGAAATCTCCCCAATCAACAGTAATTCAGTCGGTTTTCACAGCCGATAGGAAACAAAGAAGATTAATTAACATTTCGGAAAAAGCATGGAGACCCTCATCACCGCAGACGCTCTCTACGGATGAACAATCATTGTCCAGTGTGAACGCTAAATTCAGAGAAAATTCGTCTTCATTATTTGTAATAGACGAAAACAAACCACCCACGCCCTCTATTAGTTTATCGAGCTCTGTAGGCAGCGTCACGAAGACGCTGACATCAGCAGGCATTAAAAATAACGATCCGACGAGGCCAAAAACGAGCGATGGAACATTTCGCTCTTATGGAAGCAGAATGAATCCACCAGAAATACCTAAGCAGAATCTGCCTGCCAGCAGACAAAGGCAAACTCTATTAAAAAATCGCCGAGAAACTCCAGGTAGTAACAGTCCAACATGTCAAAAGAGAGGTCCAAATACTAATCCATCTCCGCCAAGGCAGCCTTTGGCCAGAAATAATAGAGTAACGTCTCGTCCACCGAGTCCTATGTCTTCCTCACAGTATAACACGGAATCGTTGCAAAGGCCTACCTCGAGAAAACCTCATTTAAGTCCCAACCGACCTCAGTCTGTACACTCACCACGAGTTAAAAGCCCATGCGCAACCCCGAGGACGAACCTCACTTTGCAAAAGACCTGCACCAACGCCGAAAAAATTAAAAATACGATTGAACAGCAGTTGAACATGGAAGAATTGAATTCGGACAAAACAGATACCCCCTGCCTAGAAGGGAACGAATCTGAGAACATGCCTTCAAGTTGTCCAGAAACACCGAATTCCCCGGCTTCTCGTGAAGCATGTGAGGAACCTTCCTTGCAGACTCCACCCACGAGCCCTACTACCAGAAAAGTAGGCCATCCTTTAAGAAATATGACTTTGAAAGAGTTCCAAAACAGAAGACAGAAATGTTCAACTATGGCGAACAGCTTAGAGAATTCGGCCGGTACAAGCGCGGGTAAAAGCGACAAATCTGCCTACAAGCCGCCTTGGGTTAGAAATTCGAAAGAGTCTCCAACTCACAAGCGGCCAGAAAGTCCCATCTTTCAAAAACCGAAAACCCCGGTTTCACCTCGAAAAAGCCCAAGCCCGGCTAGGCAAACGAAGCCGAGTGATGTAAGTAGCCGTATTTCCTAACAGAATAATCACTTGATTAAATTATTTATTGTTTTCTAGGACTAGCCAGTGCGCGGACAAGAAAATAGGCGTTAATTTAATTGCTGAAGCCCGGTGGAAGAGAAGAAGTAGCTCTTCGGACTGTTAATCCTGCCATAAATCGTGCATGGAGAACAGTTCATAGCCTTTAATGCTCGTGCAATGTTTGTCTCCGACGAAAAAAACAAACAATTAAATCTATATTTTCCATCTATTGTTGGTATTTATGAAAATGATCTTTTAGAAATATTTTCCTGCTATCAGCAGTAATACTAACAGGAGGAGGATGGAAAGAGGCTTCGAATAAAGTAAGCAAAAAAGTTTTAAAAACCTATTATGATTCGTTTTTAATACGACGCAGAACGATAAAATACGAATTTTCATAGCAAACGAAAAATAGTCATTTTTGGGCTGCATCAGCGGAGGTTATATTTTTGTCTCGAATGTCCGGTGTTCCACTTAAAATTTCTTTACTTTCCTGAATGGTAATTTCTCTACTTTGGACCTATTTCAACAACGATTATATGTTCTGTCATTCTAAGTAAGACAAATAAGTTTAGAATAAAAAAAACTTCAAACGTGTTTTATTTTATTTCTAATATTCTAATTTATTTACGGAGACGAAAGTTATGCCATTGCGTCGTTTCTTGATAAAAATAAAAATAATAATAAAATAAAATAAATAAATAAGTAAAAAATACAAATATATTGTACATAAATTGTATTTTGCAGCTAGTGTAGTCACAAGTAGAATAAAACTTTTTTGAAAGCAAGAAATAAAGTTGATGTTCGTTTTATATGCCCCCAAAATCATCTGAATAAAAATTTTAGGAAAATATTTTTTTGTCTATCAGATTTTAGGTCCACATTTTTTCCCCAAAAATTACAAAAATGATAACTTTGAAATGACTAAACCGACCCGCAGGAAACTGTACAGGGGCACCTTATTAATTACACGCAATGTCATAACGACATCAATGTAAATAAATTAGAACAAAAGATACAAATAAAAGTTTAAGAATTTTTTGTGGAATTCGTTCTTAGTTTTCTCACTTATACAATGACATGATAATCTATCAATGTATATATTGTAAGCGTAGTCGAAACGCAGAAATTTTTTTCCTACAAACGTTGCCCCATATTTGCTTAGTGGTCATAATTGCGTATATTAATTGGAGTTTGTATTGAATTTGGATAAAATTTAGAGCATTTGTAATTTTTTAAAAAGAACGGACAACATAGTTGGGGAAAAAATTGACCCTAGCGAATCCAGCCAGAAAACAACGAAGATTCTTTTGGTTTTTGCAACTTTATATAATAACATATAACATGTACAACAGGAAATATTTAAAAACCAGCAATATTCTAAAAACTCACTTTAATTACTTAAAATATTTTTTTCTCGGTTTCTAGGCCACATTGGCAAAAATGTTCAATCAAGTATGTAATATTTTTTGGCCTACTATTATAAAAAAATTGGTTAAAATCGGTAGCCTCTCTTTATTAATGCTGAACCTGAATACAGTTAAGCCCGTTTTATTAACAGTATCGAGTTATTAAAACTTCAATTAACATTATAAAAGTGAGGAAAAGTAGTATATACTAGAAACAGAAACTCTTGGCACATTAATAATCCATTGTTATTACAATTGTCTAGTAAAATTAATTGACCCCTGTTTATTCCTTTAGTGCAGATAAAATGCAGTTTAAAAATAACTAAATTTTTTACCAATACTTCTATAAAAAATTCCTCTATATATTTTGTTTTTATTACTACTAAAATCTGGGATTGGGAACATTTATGTGTAATCTGGCTATATGTTAGGGTTAGAAGATAATCCGACCGTTCGATTTTTGAGATCGTGAATCTGTCAGTGTAACGCCTTGGTCTTGGGTGGCATGTTTTTTTCGTCAATTCAAATAATACAAAAATACTAATAAGCAGTTTAACTTATACCCCTATGTTTATTCGTCAAAATTGCACCATGAGCAGAGTTTTATTGATTTTTCTTTGCACGCGATGAGAAAAGCCAGTTGGGTATTTGTTTTTTGGGCCTGGAATTGTATGCATTTCATTTATTTATACTGTGTCAACCTGCTTGCAGAAATTTACTTTTGTCGTCACACAGTTCCTGCTCGGAACAAGCGGAAACGTCGCATGCTACTTATTTAACGTTTCCTTTATCGAGGAAATCGATTTATCAAGATGAGCTCTTACGAAATATATTTGCGAACGACGATATGTTTATGGTTAAAAAATATATTCGGCCTGTTGGAAATTCGAGCGTCCCTGATCATCAACGTCCGCCAAATCTCGCTGGGTTACAAAGCAATTTGATGTTTTCAATGGATAAAAACGCACTGTACGGATCATTAATAAAATATAAATGAAAAATAAATAATGCGATATAGGCAGGTTGAAAGATGAAACTGCAGGTATAAAAAGTTCTCTTCCTCTCTCTTTCTCTCTCTCTCTCTCTCTCTCTCTCTCTCTCTCTCTCTCTCTCTCTCTCTCTCTGTCCTCATAACACATTCATACACTCCAATAAAATCTCTCATTGCTGTTAGTTAACCTAGAAATATCGAATGGAAAAAATAAATAATATTCTCCTTCGTTGACTTTAAAGTGGCTTTTGACTCAATCGACCGGACACTATCCTGGAAACCTTGGCTTCTCATCTGCAATTGTGATTATACTAGCTGCCCTATTTACTTATTCGGGTTGCGCTGTTAAAATTAATAGCTCAGTCTCCCAATATTTTACGATTTGTGAATAGACAGGGCCGTGTTTTTAGCCCTTTGTTGTCTCGATCTTTAATAATGATCTCTCTGATGCTACATATTTCGGAATTCGTATCAATTAAAATCAATCTTTTTGGGCAGGATAGGGCGTAGGACGTATTGGTTCAATTCATAACAATTTATCTTTCATAATCTAGTCTTTTGGTAGACTACAGACTTCCCATAATTACGGTTGTGAATTAATAATAATTTGTCCTGGTTCAAAGCACTTAATTCATTAGCCTATGATTTCAATATTGACTTTGTCTTCTCCCTTAACATCAATGAGCAATGGTTCTCCAAATACTCGGCTTTTGAATCATCCATTTATTCCAGGCATTTGGAAAGTTGTACTTAGTAAGTTAGACCTAATATATTACTGCTCTACTGATTTTTTAAAGCTATTTTTCTACTTAACCAATAATAATTTTAGGTTTTCCCCCCAATAATTTATATCGGTTCTTCAAAATTCGGTGCGAACCGATAACCTTATACAGGGTGTTACAGGGTAAAATGTTAATACTGCCATGGTGGATTCACTAAATAAAACCACTAAATAAAACTTCAGTGCCACCAGAACGAGGATTCTGTCCCGACTGAGATATTAACATTTTTGTGATTGTAATCTAAAAACAGATTTTTTTAAACATAAAATCGTAATTTTTCAACTATAGCGTCATTAAAATACAAATCTGACCTTTATTTCGTAAACTACATTAAATTTTCCACAAGATAACACATTTTCCTTGAAAAATTCGTGCTTCCGAATACCGCTAGTAGCCGCTCAAAAAGTAACAAATGGCAAAACCCATGTTTTTTTGTTAATACTCATTTTGTAGCTGGTGACTTTGAAATGACTTTTCCATCAACATTTTCGAGGATTTCGCCAAAGTTGCCTTATTTTATACGTATTCTAAGGACGTACTCACTTCTATATTTTTAGAACTGTTCTTAGTGAAATATCCGTTGCAAGGTTGAAAAACGTGATATCGAACCCAAGGAGAGCACCAACAGAACATCGTACACATCATATTTTTAATGAAAACATTTGTTGCTTAGTAGTTGGTAACAAAAATCAAATCCATTCTTCTCATAAAGTATACATAACTAAAGAAACATTACAATGAAAATCAAACTTCATTAAAACATGATTTTTTTGTGTGAATTAACTGGGGCACTGCCGCGAAAGTATATGCACCGGATAGGAGTACTGACAGAAAACATACTGTGCCGGACACTGCCAGGAAGAACAGGAAACCGTAGAACACATTCTATGTTTTTCTGAGGGTCTATGGGCTATGGTCTATTACAACATGGACTGGAAAAGAAGCAAGCAAGATCCTACTGACATTCGAGTGAATTTTGTTTCGTGTGTATATGTATATATATGGTCTGATCATATGCGATCAGACCACCAATTTGGAAATGATAAATGATGGAGTGAGTGTGGTGTTCAATACTTTTTAAAAGGATAGTTCCTACTCACAGTAAGTTGTTTTGCAACGATCCGGATTTCGAGCCTTTTAGCTCATCATCAGGTTGAAGGACTTCTACAACCACGTCTCTCGACATGAATTGCCAAAGTGAACCGCTGATACCTCCGCCAAAGCGACGTTCCAATTATGAGTTGATAATTGGAACGTCGCGTTGGCGGAGGTATCAGCGGTTCACTTTGGCAATTCATGTCGAGAGACGTGGTTGTAGAAGTCCTTCAACCTGATGATGAGCTAAAAGGCTCGAAATCCGGATCGTTGCAAAACAACTTACTGTGAGTAGGAACTATCCTTTTAAAAAGTATTGAACACCAATTTGGATTCCGAACAAGACATTCAACAATAGACCAAATTCACCGAGTAACGGACGTTGTCAAAAATCTCTTGAAGAAAAACAAATTTGTTCTGCTATCTTCCTTGATGTCTCACAAGCTTTTGACAAGGTCTGGCACGAAGGACTCATCAATAAACTGAAAGGTATGCTACCAAAGCAGTATGTCGATATTATCAGTTCCTACCTAACTGACAGACTGTTTAGAGTCAAACAAGAATATCAATATTCAAAATTAAAAACAATAAATGCAGGAGTGTCACAAGGTAGCATATTAGGTCCACTGCTTTACTTCTCATACACCAGTGATTTTCCGAAAATAGATGGAGTAAAAATTGTAACGTTTGCAGATAACACTGCGGTGATATCAGTAGGACTGACTATCACCCATTCAATTAAAATCCTCCAAAATGCATGTAATGAGATAAACGAATGGACAAACAAATGGAAAATCAAGCTAAATCAGCGTAAATCTGTTCATCTAATCTTTACACAAAAAAAGGGGACCATGTTCCGTCGCTCACAATCGATCGAACTACTACACAGCGATACAGCTAAAATATCTGGGATGACCTTAGATGCCAAGCTGAGATGGAAAGAACACGTGAA